CCCCGCCCGCCTGCCTCTCTGCCTACTTGTGATCTCTGTCTGTCAAATAAATAAATAAAATCTTAAAAAAAAAAAAAAAAAAAAAGATGGGTCAGTAGCCAGAGGGCCCAGGATCTAGCTTCAGCTCTCAACAAGTGGCCCCAGGGAAGTCCGTTAACCTAGAATCTCTTGTCTTTCAGGGTAAAACTGGGCCAACGATGCTCTTTTTCCACTTTTTCCAGGGTTCTTGCGAAGAACAGTTTAGTAGAGCTGTGTTGAGCTGCTTGCAAATTGGAAAAGACACGCACAGGTTTCTGATAAAAAGGATTATAGTTTAATAGTCTATTTTCCAGCTTCACAGCAGAAGACATGGACGGGGAGCCGGGAGAGGACTTCTGCTTGGCGAATGTTCAAAAATAAGTGAGACTAGTGCTTCTCCACGGGGGATGATTTTGTCATAGGGCAAAACTGGACAGTGTTCTTGGAGACATTTTTGATTGTCATGACTGGGGCTGGTAATGCTACTGGCATCTAGTGGGAAGAGGCCAGGAATTCTGCCCAACGCCCTAGTAACGCACAGTCCTGCGACCAAGAGATTGTCTGACCCAACATGTCAGTGTGCTCGGGCTGAGAAACTCTGAGCTAACCTAAACGGAAAGCTGGGCTGGGTTCTTGAGAAGCCAGCAGGGGAGGCTGAGCCCTCCTTAATGGAAACAGACCCTCTAGTCAGAAAGAATTAGGCCCATACAATCAAATGGAGTCGTCCTGAGGAGAAACGCCAGGATTTTAGAGACCATGACAATCTATGTCTAAACAGGCCAGAAGGGCACCTGGGTGGCTCAGTGGGTTAAGCCTCTGCCTTCGGCTCAGGTCATGATCCCAGAGTCCTGGGATCGAGGCCCGAATCGGGCTCTCTGCTCAGCGGGGAGCCTGCTTTCCCTCTCCCTCTGCCTGCCTCTCTGTCTACTTGTGATCTCTCTCTCTCGCTCTCTGTCAAATAAATACATAAATACATAAATATCTTTAAAAGAAAAATAAATTAACAGGCCATAAATTGCTTTAATTACACTCTGAGAAGGCTCGGTTTCTCAAGAACTGCCCTGGTCTTGTGTCCCCTGGTGGGTACACTTGGGCAAGGTGGGAGTGGACAGGAGCCAAGGTCAGGGCAGAGGCCTCTCCTCTGCACCCACAGTCTCTACCTTAGTCAGTCGTTTGGTCTGTGTTCTGACCTGAGAAAGCAGGTCCAAAATGGGAGGGGTCTGCCCCCCCCACCAAGAGCAGCCCTAGACTAGAGGGGGTCCCTTTTGGCGGGGTCCCCCTATTTCCATCCCCTCGTGCCTCGGGGCTCCTGCCAGCACTGAAGGGGCCTCTGGGCCTGAGGGGAGCAGAGATGAGGGAAGAGAACTGGGGACTCTTTTCTCGGTTCCGTCTGCTCAATGCTCAGTCCAAGGTTGAGTAGTATTCCATTGTAGGAATATTTAGTGGACTTCTGCTTGTTTCCAGTTTTTTATTATTATGAATAAAGCTTCTTAGGAATTTCCCTTTTCTGTTTGTTTTGTAGCGCTAGGGCAGGAAGAAAATGATTCAATCACGCACCAAATAAATGGATGAGAAGTTAGGAAGAAGCCTGGTGGGGGGAGAAAGAAAGGAACATTTATGAGAGAGCCACTCCCTTAATGGGCTTTGGGTCACCAAGCGGCACCTACGTTCCTTTATGAAAGGGAAGCAGGCTTCATTTTATCATTCTTCTGACCTGGAATAATGCAATGGTCCACTCTGGTGGAATATTCCAGCTGGATTCATTTCCTTTTTGGTCAACGGAAACCTGGCGAGGAAGGCTGACCCACCAACAGCTCTTGAAGTCATCTCTAGGTTCACTGTTGGTTTTGGTTAGCTTTGGTCAGCGGCTACTACTTCAGAGCATTAATCATTTATAGAGCTCTTTGTGCCCTGCCCGGGGCTTTACAGACCTCTTCATGCCTTGCACCACGACCGCCTTCATTCAGCTCTGCTCACCTCTAGCAGGAGAGCACTGACACTCGCGTACTGCCCCAAAGCCACAGTAACACCCTTACGGGCACCCTCCTTTTCCCCTGGCAGAGCGCTGACTTGTAGATTTGTCCTGTGCTAGGCCGTATGCTCAGGGAAAGGATGCCCTCCCTAATCCCACCAGGTGAATTTTGACTGGCTTAAATCCATCATGGTGGTCCAGTTCCCTTGCTGGTACACACTTCTGGGTTCATAAAATGGGAGGCAAAGTCAACTGGGGAGCTTCAGGGAAAGTGTTGTTTACTCTTAAAAATGGAATATTAGAGATATGAACAAAGGGAATAGGTCCTTTTTTGCCTTGGGGTGTGACTGTATGAAGATGTGATTCCCGGAGCTGCTGCAACTATGTTGTGACCAGGAGATGATGAGCCTGAAGACAAGACCCAAAATACTGAAGAGGCAGAATGGAAAGATGGAAGAACCCAGGTCCTTGCTGACGTATCTCTCCAGTCACGCTGGAACCCCACTAATGCCTTTCATCTCAAACTCCCCCAGGCTGCTTCCCTATTTCTTACATGATGGTCCAGTTTGGGGTTAGATAAAGAAAGAACAAACAACAACAAAGCCCAAACAACCTACAACCTATATACCTTTTCCATTCTTTGAAAAACACAGTTCTCTGGGACACCTGGGTGGCTCAGTGGGTTAAAGCCTCTGCCTTCAGCTCAGGTCATGATCCCGGGGTCCTGGGATCCAGCCCCACATTGGGCTCTCTGCTCGGCGGGGGCCTGCTTCCTCCCCTCTCTCTGCCTGCCTCTCTGCCTACCTGTGATCTCTGTCTGTCAAATAACTGAATAAAAAAATCTTTAAAAAAAGAAAAAAGAAAAACACAGTTCTGTCCTCCCCCCAGGCCACCAACACTCAAACTTAGAAGTGATGAGTCAGAATTTGGCCCCAGGTAACGCAAACACACTGCTTATTAAATTAAGAAGCAAATAAACAAGCAACAAGAAGATGCACAAGATGAGCTGACCACTTTAAATAATCACGTTTTGGGTTATTTCCCTGGGGAGGGTTGAAGACACATAATAATGCTTTCCTGGGTAGGGTAAGAGATGTTCCGAAGCTGCAAAGGCCCCTGGGCCCCAGGCCCAGTGAGTGGCCACCCACTCTCTGGCCCCCTCCCATCCTCAACCCTGAAGCTAGTGGCTGTGGATTCCAGCTGCACTCATTAAGACAGTATACAGAAGGGGGTTAACACTGTGGAGGGTGGTCTGTGATCTGGGAGGGTCCTCCTGCCTGGTTAATGGACAGAGCCTCAGTGAACCCGCACCCCCTTTCTGTCTCCTTGACTGGAACACATCGGCAGATACTTACATATTCAGTGCATAATTTCCATCTCTGAATCCATTTCTTTAGAGTATAAAATAGGATGTCCTAAGTATATAAAAATGTGGAAAACAGTGAAAACTCACCACAATCTACTACCTATAAAAAAAACCACTAATATTTTGTTCTATTTCTGTCAAGTTTCTTTCCAAACTTATTATAAAAAGTAGGGTCTTTATGCACATTTTGCAGAGCCTCTTAGGGCTGGGCATGTTTGTTTGGGTTTCGGTTTTTGGTTTGTCTGTTTTTGTTTTTTTTAAGGTTTTATTTATTTATTTGAGAGAGAGAGAGAGAGCGCGCACGTGCGCGCACAACCAGGGGGACTGGCCGACAGAGAAGGAGAAGCAGGGAGCCCGATGCGGGGCTCGATCCCAGGACTCTGGGATCATGACCTGAGCTGAAGGCAGACACTTAACGACTGAGCTACCCAGGCACCCCTGAGTTTAAGATCTTAAGGAGGACGGTGGAAGTTTCTGAGGATAAGAGATAGACAAGTTTAGAATCCTCTTTCTTATTTTTAAGGGGAGAACTTTGGAAATTACATAAGAACCAATTAATTCGTGCTATTTGGAAAGATCCTAGAAAAAAAAAGCAGCACATCGTCAGCAGACTCCTAAAAGAGTGTAAAAATGCAAGATATTACTAGTTGGCTGTGAACATCATCTTGTGGTAGAAAATCATGCCAAAGTGATTCAAGTATGGTAGACAATGATGGCTTTTCAGATGAAGAGGAAGTAATAGAGTCCACAGAGCTTAGCAACACTTTCTACTCTGCCTCATGTAACAGCCTCCTGGACGAGCTCAAGTAGTACCATTAGGAGAGAATCAGGTAGCGTAGAGGGGATTACCTGAGGGACGGTGAGTGTCTCTCCAGTATTCTTCGGGTGGGCTGCACGCTGGAGAACACAAATGTTGGCAGCCTGTCTGAAGGGGCTGAGCCAAGCCAATTTTTAAAGTTCCAAGGATGGAAAAGTGCCTTAACTGGAAATTTCGAGGGGTAGGAGTGGAATGAGGAAGCAAATGGAAGCTCGTGTTACAGAGAGATGAGAGGGAGTTCTTGAAATAGCTAGTTCCTTGTCTGGACACGTGGGAAAGGGATAATTCTCTGTGTAATACAATGTATTCATTCTAACTTTCTCTATAACTTCCATTTGTTGAGCACCTACTGTGAGTCAGCGGCTTTGCCAGCCATTTTTCCTCATCCCCAGGGTTGACCCCCGCATTGCAAGAGTAATTCCGTCCTGGGTTGGTGTCTCTGGCCACTCTCCGGCTCATGCCACAAAGCACATGGCAGGAGGGCAGAGGCAGAGGCGAGTCCACTTACCTGGCCTGCCAGGTTGAAATAAGAATGGTTGGTCAGATTGACCGGTGTGGTCCGACTGGCCTGGGCTCGGTAGTTGATCATAAGCTCCCCACCATCCAGCGTGTACGTCACCCAGACTTTCAACTCCCCAGGGTAGCCTTCCTCACCATCTGGACTGACCCTCGAGAACTGGACGCCATTTGACAGCACCTGAGGGGTCCAGGGGACCTAGAAAAAAGAGTTTTCAAAGCTGTTAAGTCATTGCAATCTCGACCTAAAGGCCACGTTCCAATATTTAAAACTAGCGAATTCTAGGAAGAGAAATGGTTATATGATCTTCAAGATGTTTGAATAACAGCTTGGATTTTAATTATTCTAAAATTTTGTTTTATACAAAAAAGTAGATTTTGAGAGAAACATTTTCCCTTCTCTTTACCTACTCATATTCCCCATACTCTTTCTCCCAAAACTTATATGTATGTGTTGACACTATTTTCCACTTTTCCTTTTTTAAAAGTTTTTTTTCCTATCTCGGTGTCCCATTCTGAGAAATGTCATATGGCATTATCTGCTGATGGTATTAAAAAATGACCTTAATAAATATGGCCCTCTTTCCCAGGGAAGTACTATTTATGGATATTTATAAAAAATGCTCCAAGATTCTCTATATTCCCTGGGCAGAGTTCCAAACAAATAAGAAGGCACTTGTTCTGTTAGGAAGAGTTCTGCCCACGCACCAGGAGTCCTGATTTGGGGGCCAGGTTTGTTCCTAGCTCACTGTGTGATGTCGGGCATCAGTCCCTGCCATAAAGGGGCTGAAAAAACGATCTTGACGTCTTCTTCTCATTCTAGAAAATATGGTTCTAGGGGTGGCAAGAAAAATAGGAAGAAACGTTTTCTAGAATTTTTTGCTTTTGGAACTAGGAATCTTTGATTCACACAGTTGTTTCTCTCACCTTTGGCCTAGAGGCCTTGAGATTCCCCTTACGGGGAGGGACAGCCAGGAATTACAAAGCACCCGTGACAAGAGCCAAGACACTCTTCTAGGGACTTCACAGACACTCTCTTATCTGTCTCAGAGCTGGCTCAATGTGGGCACCATTATCTTCATTTAATGATGAGAGAGAGCTGGGCTCAGAAAGAACACACGGTTTTTCCCAGCTTCTTCCAGCTGGGAAGACAGCGGTCTGATCCTGAGCTTTTTTCCTTATTCTATGTGATCAGAGGACATACTGTCCAGAGAGCCCCAGTCTCTTTAAGGAGCCCTGGAGGTCACTAGTCAAGAGGTCTTTGCTGACAGGAGATGTCCATTTGTTTGGTTCTCAACAGCCACTGACCTGGTACTTTATGAAATGACCAACTTTGTAGGTCAAAATGGTTGAACACTGGCCATTTCAAATGGCTCCAACTAATACCATGACCCCATTTTACAGATGAGCAAATTGAGTTCTGTGGTGTTACCTTGTCCACTTCTACATCCCATATTCCAGGGGGTTTGACTAGAACCTTTTCATGCTTTATCATACTTCATGCTCATTGTTTAAAACTCTTCTTCTTTTTTTAAGATTTATTATACTCATGGAGAGAGAGAGAGAGCACACACGAACGAGCAGAGGGAGAGAGTCTCAAGCAGACTCCGGGCCGAGCATGGAGCCCAATGCAGAGCTCAATCCCAGGACCCTGAGATCATATCCTGAGCTGAAACAGAGAGTCAGATGCTTAACCGACAGAGCCACCCAGGTACCCCATGTCCATTGTTTAAAGGGGTAAAAAAAATCTTGTTTAAAGTCATACACGTCATTAGTGACAGAACTAGGATTCAAACTCTGGCCTGGTAGTCTACACCAGCCATATCTTCATTTCAGAGAATGTTTTGTTTGAATTTTCTTTTTTTCAACAGGAGAGTTGAGGCAAAACACTGTCATTCCGAATAGACTTGAAAGGTAATCATTTCTGTGGGCCACAGGAATAGCCTTTGAGCCCAGGCTCTGCCCACCTGCCCCTAGCATGGCCGGGATCCTTCTCACTGATGTTGAGAGACCCCACGTTTACCAGGAAGGGGAGCCCAGCAGGAGCGGAGGTCTCTGCCTTTATCTCTGGTGAATGCAGCTGGTGTCTGAGACAAACTCACTGACCCTAGAAAAAAATTAATTTTACACCCTAGTTATCTCCTAGAAATGCTGAACTTCCAAGACACTTAAAATATAAAGCTGGTTATATGCATGATTAAAAAAGGAGAAAAGAGTCCCCTAAATGGAAAATTTTAGGAATAAAATATCCAAAATAAAACATTCTTCACTTGCTACCTAGTTTTTGTCCTTTAGAGAAAGAACACGTGGAAAGTTTTTTGCATAAAGAAATGTTATCAGGTCAGTATAATTTTGTGGAAAACACAATTCCTATTCACAGGAGAATATCCCTGACCCTGCACTTTACAAATTTCCTGAAAAATTTCCACATTTGCATCTCTAGGCCTCCTTATATACCATTTCCAATTCCGTCAGATGATTCAAAGTTCATCTTTTTAAAAAGTGCGTTGATATAAACAGAAAAAGGCGTATCTACAAACGAGCTATTTATTCAGTAATCGTTGAGACGAAATACAGCTGGAAATAGTTCATCTGATATGGCTCCTGTTACTGCGGGGAAAGCTTATAGTTCAGAAGCTTTCAGTATCTCCAGGGTAACATTCCAAGTCCTTCTCCCACCCTCCCTGGGCTTCTGCACAGCCATTTTTTCCAGGACCTACTTACTAAATGAAATGCTATTCTTTCTTCGAGGGTGATTCAAATCCTACCTCCGCAGTTCCTCTCAATCTGTCCACACGGGTTCCTACAGCACACCACTGGCATCCATAGTCGGGGGCTGGTTGCCTAGAATGGCTGTTTATCCAAGGGTCTGGCTCGCTCACTATAGTAGAGGGACTCTACTGGTTCATAGAAGGGACTCAGTAGGCACAGAGCCCTGAAGGAGGTGTATACTCACTATCTCGCTGTGTTTTTACAGGGCACTCATGTGAAGCCACACCACAGAAAACGCTACAGTGGGAGAGAGGGAAGAGGAACAGAGCTGGGCCTAACTCCCTCTGCTTGGGCTTTACCCACGGGCCTGCCATATTCCAGAGACCCTCTGCCCTGGTACTGCCAGGACCGAGGCTACCCCTTGCCTTCATGCCTTCCGGGGGTGAGGAATCCATTCACGGAGGAACAGGGAAGAGATGGGACGGTGTGGTTCTGGACCACAGATGGGAAGTTGGGCAAGAGTGACCAACTTCCTTCAACGGGACAGGGGGCGGTGAGAGGCAGGAAGGAAGAAACAGTGCTCTTTAACCGCCATATACATTCTAGCATTTTCTGGTTCTTCTTTAGGGAATAAACTGGGTGATATAATTTAAAGGAGAGTTAGCGACCAAAATTATCTCTTTGAAATTAGACTAGTAAGAGAGTCGCTGGGGGTTAACCCTCAGACCCCACACAGCTAGGAAGCAGGCCAGTAGGCGTTTCTACTTCAGGGAGAAGCTGTTTGATCAGTTTACTGTCCTAACCTTGTTTTCCCAGGGATTCACTTGGGGAATGGGAGTTTTAATGTGGAAAGAGGCAACTGGCAGAGAATCTGAGATGATTTTGAGGCATGAGGCACTTCAGTAGAAGCTACGCCTGGATGTGGCACCACACTGTGGGGGAAGGGGGCTTAGCGGCACTTTCAGGGGTGCGTATTGGACCGGGGGCGCCTACACCAGCGGTTACAGTGTAGAAATGAGGGCTGGCAGGCTGGGCCGCACAACCTAGGAGTCATTTGGTCTTTTACACCCTCAGATTTCTCATGTGGTGATAACGCAGGGCTCTTGCAAGCATGAGACAGAAGATGTACAAATGCCCTGTGCAGTAAATGGCAGGTATTATTTTTATTTATTTATTTGGGAGGTATTTTTTTTAAAAGATTTTAGAGAGATCACAAGTAGGCAGAGAGTCAGGCAGAGAGAGAGGGGGAAGCAGGTTTCCCGCTGAGCAGAGGGCCCGTTAGGGGGTTGGATCCCAGGACCCTGAGATCGTGACCCGAGCCAAAGGCAGAGGCTTCAACCCACTGAGCCACCCAGGCGCCCCTTGGCAGGTATTATTTTTAAGCCACTTTTCCATTGTGCCAAAGGTCCACTGGACTTCCTGATCCCAACACCAGGAGAAAATCATTCCCTGTTTTTCCCAAGTCAAGAGCTGTCAGCCTTTCTCTAAGGGCTCCCCTGCCTCTTACAGTCTGATGAGCTACAGAAGGATGGGTCCTGGAACTGGGCCAGCACCCCTGCTCCCCTGAGCCCCTGGATCGGTCTCTCCTGTATCACCTCCCCACACATTTGCTATAGGGCCTAGGATGAGCTTGGCGAACATATGGTTATGTGCAAAGGTGGAGACCCTGTCCGGTGCCCCTGACTCACCTTATCAAACCCTCTCACTCCTCCATGAAGACTGTTGGGTCCATTGTTAATGGGCAGCTTATACTCCTTCCCATCCAATGTGAATGTTCCTTTGGCAATTCGGTTAGCCACCCGGCCAACCACGGCTCCAAGGTAGGGCTGCTTTTGGAGGTAACCTGCAGGACATGTGATGAAAGTGTTTAAAACTGGAAGCCAAAGGTGAGGCTCACGGTGCTGCCCACCACCTTCTTCTGAGAGCAGCTGAAAGTAGGAACAACTTGGACATATTCAGCTCCTCAGAGGAGCACAGAGAGATATTCTTTACACATCACGCTTTCCCTTTCCAAAAGTAATGCATGTTCTTTATAAACGTTGCAAAAGAACTTTATAGAGCACAAAAAAAGAAATCTTTTTTTTTTTTTAAGATGTATTTACTTGGGGGGTGCTGAGAAGGAGAGGGAGAGAGAGTCTTAAGTAGACTCCTCGATGAGCACAGAACCCCACTTGGGGCTTGATCTCAAGACCCATAAGATCACAACCAAGCCAAAACCAAGAGTCAGATGCACAACTGACTGAGACATCCAGGCGCCCCAAGAAATTTAAATCATCCTAATCTCATCACTAGAGAGACCTACTGTTAATATTTTTATGTAGCGGGTGCCTGGGTGGCTCAGTTGGTTAGGCGACTGCCTTCCATCAGGTCATGATCCCAGAGTCCCGGGACTGAGTCCCTCATTGGGCTCCCAGCTCCATGTGGAGTCTGCTTCTCTCTCTGACCTTCTCTCCTCTCTCACTCTCTCTCTCAAATAAAGAAAGAAAATCTTTGAAAAGAAATTAAAAAAAAAATTCTTATGTATATACTCCTGCCTTTTAGTACATGCGGACCTGTGCTTTTCTTCTTCTTTTTATAAAAATGGGAGTCTTGAGGGGTGCCTGGGTGGCTCAGTGGGTTAAAGCCTCTGCCTTCGGCTCAGGTTATGGTCCCAGGGTCCTGGGATCGAGCCCCACATTGGGCTCTCTGCTCAGCAGGGAGCCTGCTCCCCCCCCGACTGCCTGCCTCTCTGCCTACTTGTGATCTCTGTCAAATAAATGAATAAAATCTTAAAAAACAAAATGGAGTCTTGATTTAAGGATTTAAGTGCTGCTTTGTAATTTGCTCTTTTCTAGGCCAATTTCTTTAACTAAAAATCATATTTTTGTGTTGTCTCAAGAAGTATTCTTTTCTCTTTTTATTTTTTTAGAATAATAAAATTATCCTTTAAAGAGCATTAAACAAATATAGAGAGGCAGAGTGTCAGATGAAATACAGGACACCCAGCTGAGTCTCAATTTCAGATAAATAATAAATAATTTTTAATATAAGTACATACATATTATTATTATACATGATAAGTATATATTATTATACATGACACATACTTAACACTTAAAAACCATTTGTTGGGGTGCCGGCCTGGCTCAGTCAGAAGAGCATGCAACTCTTGACCTTGGGGTCAAAACCAAGAGTCACATGCACAACCGACTGAGACATCCAGGCACCCCAAGAAATTTAAATCATCCTAATCTCACCACTAGAGAGAACTACTGTTAATATTTTTATGTTATAAGCCCATGTTGGGTGTAGAGATTACTTAAATAGATGAATAAATAAAAACTTTTTTAAAAGTTTTAAAAACCAGGGTACCTGGGTGGCTCAATGGGTTAAAGCCTCTGCCTTCGGCTCGGGTCATGATCCCAGTGTCCTGGGATCGAGCCCCGCATCGGGCTCTCTGCTCGGCAAGGAGCCTGCTTCTTCCCCTCTCTGTGCCTGCTTCTCTGCCTACTTACGATCTCTGTCTGTCAAATAAATAAATAAAATCTTAAAAAAAAAGTTTTAAAAACCTGTTATTTATCTGAATTTCAAATTTAATCAGGTGTCCCATATTTTCATTCACCGAATCTGGCAACCTTAACAAAGAGTAAAGCATGAAAGGGGCACCTAGGTGGCTCAGTTGGTTAAGTGTCTGACTCCTGATTTCGGCTCAGGTCATGATCTCAGGGTTGTGAGATGGAGCCCCATGTCAGCCTCCATGCTCAGTAAGGAGTCTGCTTGAGATTCTCTCTCTCCCTTTGTCCCCCTCAATCCCCCTGCCCTCCTTCTCTCTCAAATAATTAAATAAATTAATAATTTATTTATAATTATTATCTCAAATAATTATATAATAATAATAAATAATAATCTCAAATATAATTATATCTCAAATAATTAAATAAATCTTTAAAAAAAAAAGAGTAAAACGTGAAACTCCCTCTTTCATGCCTTAACTCTTCCTCTCAGTGACAACCACTGTGAACAGTCTAGCATATACACTTCTAGTTTTTTTGTTTTGTTTTGTTTTTTTAAATTAACTATAGAGAAACACATACAAATACACAAATGCAATATTGATATAAAGAGAACTGTACAGTGCATATGACTTTGCAGGTTCTCATTTATCAAATGCCTTAAGATCTGTCCATGCGACTACATATCTATCTGCTATATTCCTTTTCATGGCTATGTGGCATACTGAGGAGAAAAATTGTGGGGCTTTCTAGGGGATTATAAAAAGCAATGTGCTTGTGCTCTTTTACTTACAAGTCTGTGTACAGGCATGCTACATAGATCTTTCCTTCTCTTCAAGTTCCTCTACCGTATGATTACAATGGTAGAGACTAAAGTTTGGGGGTAGTTTGTTTTTTGCATGATCACCAGCATTGCTATCTACTCTGTTTTTCACTCAGATGCCCCCAGAATTCCATCCCCTTTTCCTGTGGCACTCTGTATCCATCCCGTCTATGTGGATCAGAAGAGTATGCAATTCTCAGGGAAATACAAATCAAAACCACAATAAGATACCACCTCACACCAGTGAGAATGACTAAATTTCACCAGTCAGGAAATGAGAGATGTTGGTGAGGATGTGGAGAAAGGGGGACCCCCCCCACACACTTTTGGTGGGAATGCAAGCTGGTGCAGCCACTCTGGGAAACAGTACAGAGCTTCCTCAAAAAGTTGAAAATAGAGCTACCCTTTGACCCAGCAATTACACAATTGGGTATTTACCCCAAAGATGCGAATGTAGTGATCTGAAGGGGCATGTGCACCCCAATGTTTATAGCAGCAATGTTCACAATAGCCAAACTATGGAAAGAGCCCAGATGTCCATCGACAGATAAAAAGATATGGTATAGATATATAATGGAATACTATGCAACCATCAAAAAGGTGAAATCTTGCCATTTACAATGACATGAATGGAACTACAGGGTATTATGCTAAGCAAAATAACTCAATCAGAGAAAGACAATTATCATATTATCTCACTGATGTGTGGAATTTAAGAAACAAAACAGAAGATAATAGGGAAGAGAGGAAAAAATAAAACAAGACAAAATCAGAGAGGGAGACAAAGCTTAAGAGACTTTTTAAAAAAGATTTTATTTATTTGATAGAGAGAGAGAGAGCACAAGCAGGGGGAACAGCAGGCAGAGGGAGAGGGAGAAGCAAGCTCACCAAGCAGGGAGCCCAATGCGGGGCTCAATCCCAGGACCCTGGAACCACGAACTGAGCTAAAGGCAGACACTTAATGACTGAGCCATCCAGGTGCCCCAGAGACTCTTAATCATAGAAAACAAACCGAGGGTTGCTGGAGAGGAGGTGCGGTGGGGAATGGATGAGGTAACTGGGTGATGGACTTTAAGGAGGGCATGTGATGTAATGAGCACTGGGTGTTATAAGACTGATGAATCACTGACCTCTACCTCTGAAAATAATAATACATTATATGTTAATTAATTGAATTTAAATTTTAAAAAAGGAGTATGCAATTTAAGCATATGAATTATTTTTACCATGGCTGGAGGGGCTCTCAGGACACAGACCCTGAACCATTAGTCCAGTTATAGATCATAGGTTCCCATTCCTCAACAGGTCGGGCATAAGTGAGACATTAACCATTCTCTTCCAGGTCTCTTGTGATTCACTCCCCTGCTAACCTGCAAGTCCTCAGAGTCCTGCCCACGGACCAGCCCTAAGAGCTAACACCGAGTTTTTCCTAAGGCTTGGCCACTTTCTAAGTGCTTTACATTGAACTCGTTTCATCTTCAGGATGGTTCTACGAGCTAGACAGTATTACAACCCTCCTTTTACAGATGTGGAAACTGAGGACAGAAAGGTTAAGTAACTTGCCCCCGAACACAGCTAGTTATTAGAGAAACCTGGATATGAACACCATCTGGCTCCTACGTACTTGTTCTGAAGCATCCCATTATTTGAAAAGTACAAGGCTTTCCGGTGAATTGATCTTCCTACCATCCCTTCACACAGGCCAGACTGACCTCTCCACCAGCTCCCACCTCCCTCCCCACCCTCCTCTCTTTCCGAAGCTGCAGCTTTAAAACTCCTTATACTGGGTAACCAAAAGGAGTTCCCATGGCCCAGCAAACCTCCTCTTGGTTTTGATTCATCTGCTTTTTTTTTTTTTTAAGTAGGCTTTATTTTTTAAAGATTTTATTTATTTATTTATTTATTTATTTATTTATTTATCAGAGAGAGAGAGAGTATAAGCAGAGGGAGCAGCAGAAGGAGAAGCAGACTCCCCACTGAGCAAGGAGCCCAATTCGGGACTCGATCCCAGGACCCTGGGATCATGAACCGAGCCGAAGGCAGACACTTAACCGACTATTTTTTAGAGCAGTTTTATGTCTACTGCAAAATTGAGCTGACTCCCCATATATCTCCTGTACAGATTCCCCATATATCCCCTGTCCCCACACAGGGATGGATAGCCTCTCCCATTACCAACAACCCCCATCAGAGAGACACATTTCTAGTCACTGATGAACCCACACCAGAATATCATTATCACCCAAAGCCCCTAGTTCAACAGGAGGGCTCGCTCTTGGTGTTGTACATTCTGTGGGTTTGGACAAATGAATAATGATACCTATCCATCATTATAATATGATACAGAGTATTTTCACTGTCCTAAATATCTTCTGTGCTCAGCCTATTCATCCCTCCCATCCCTGTAGCCCCTGGGAACCACAGATCTTTTGACTGTCTCCATAAATTTGCCTTTTTCAGAATGTCATAGTTGGAATTGGATAGTATGTAGCCCTCTCAGATAGGCTTCTTTCATTTAGTAATATGCATTTTAGTGGCTTTTCATGGCTTGATAGCTCATTTGTTTTTAGCACTGAATAATATCCCATTGTCTGGATGGACCACAGTTTATTTGTTCATTCACCTACTAAAGGACATCTTGATCCCTTGTTTTGGCAATTATGAATAAAGTTGCTATAATCACCTTTGTGCATGGTTTTGTGTGGACATAAGTTTTTGACTCCTTTGAGTAACAACCAAGAAGCGTGACTGCTTGATCCTATGGTTAGAGTACATTTAATTTTGTAAGAAACTATCAAACTATCTCCCAAAGTGGCGGTGCCGTTTTGCATTCCCACTAGCAGTGACTGAGATTTCCTGTCGCCCCACATCCTCACCAGCATTTGGTGTTGTCCGTGTTCTGGATTTTGGCCATTCTGGTAGCCCTCATTATTATTTTAATCTGCATTTCCCTGATGATGCATAATGTGGACCATTCATCTGCTTTTCAGGAGCTTTAAAAGATGAAGAAAAGCAGAATTTTTGTTCAAAATTGTTCAGCTGTATCTACTTTTATATATATTTCTATTTATAAATATTATATATATATATATATATACATGTATATGTATATATATGTATATATATAATATCTACCTTGATCCATTCAACATATGTACACAGGGCCCCAACTCTCCGCCAGTCACTCGCTTGGCTCTGGAGACAATGACAAATCCAAGAGCAATGCTGCTCCTTCATGGGCTTGAAGAATTCCCTCAGATGGCCCCACTCTCTGGCCACAGTAAACAGCCCATGGAGATAAGAAGCACTAGTCAGTCCTTAGTTTAGCGGAAGAGTTTTCAATGACTGAACCATAAGGGCAGCAGAAACCACTGTTCCCAACTGTCTCCAAACAACTCTTTAGAACAAATGGATTTTATACTATCTTCATATGTTACTAAGTTTTATATCAAATCAGAATTATAGAAAGTGACAGTCCCCAAATTCTAAATAGGACATGATTAAAAAGCTTGTTTTGAAATGCAGAAAACACTGATTTCCATGCAAAAAGGGCCAAGTTTCTAGGTCAAGCCCCGAATGATGATTTATTCAAGCCCATTGCTGATGTGGGATAAAGGGTAGAGGAAAAGTCTGTCCCTTTTCCTGGGCAAAGGACTGGCCAGAATATATTAATGGATCTTTCCATTCCTCTAACATCCCAAGGACCCCAGCTGTGCTATCCACCTCCTACAGCCCAAACTTCAGCCAGAGTTCCCTACAGTCCAAAATGAAAGTGCCTACTAATCCCAGTTCGAAGCTTCCACAACCTGAATGACTTCCCTTTGGCTTTCAGAGGAAAACAGACATGACTTTAATTGACAAGCACTTTAATTGCCCCCAATATTTAATATAGTTTCAAATGGCTGCTGGTTGGCTACATGGATCTTCATGCCCTTTTTTTCAGTGTTAACTCAGTGAAGTTAAAAGTTCAAGTGATGTGAGGGAAGATATGTGGAGGCAAGGGAAGGAAAAGAGATAAAAACTACTGATTATTCACTATAGACACTATCACTGCTGGCAGCACATTTAATCATCATTATCCACTAATTCAGGCGAGGAAGTAAGCCTGGGGAGGTTAAATAACTTGCTTAGTTAGGTTCCACAGCTTTAAGAGACAAAGCAGGGATTTAAACTCTGAATCCTCAGTGTTCCTCTAAGGGCATCTGCAACACTATACCGCAGCCTCTGAACCCATCCCTTTCCCTCCACGCCCCTATGAACTGTGGTTTTCTAAAAGCACGAAGTCCATTTTTTCTATGTTTTTCCATAATGGCTCTCATGGCAGTAATAGCGGGGTATTTGGTAGTAACTGGGGGGAAGAAAAAGGGGCAGAACGGGCAGTGATTGAGCGGGTAGGCTGTTTATTACCTGGGGCTCATAGGCAAATACTCTCATCACAGGTTTTGAAAGAAGTCATAATGACTGTAGGTGGGACATGATGATGAAAAGCATTTTTAAGTATTTTAAGTACAAAAAATGGCAGAAAAATTCATTGGAGGCATTACTGATTTTTCTAGGCTGTAACCAAAAGATCATATGATCTACCTCTTTAGAATTCTACAGAAGAAAGATCTAATTTTCCCAGGGAGAAATGGAACCATTCTGACCTCCGGTCATGGCCATGATCCAAGCAGTTTATATAAGCTATCTGGGAAACTGGAGAGAGCTCACATCTAACCTGGCAGTTAGGAAAGGACCATGTCTCATGGAATTATCCATGCTTAGCTCCTCCCTGTGGCTCAAAACATTTTGGGGACACGGTAATGTCCAGATAACCCCATATTCTGTCATATTCTGTCATGTCTTGTGGCTTTAAATGACTTAGTTTTGCTCATACAATACATATTCAGATACTCGAAAAGAATATGCAGTGAAAATAAAGTCTCCTTCTTAACCCTGGACCCAGCTACCCAGTCTTTCTCTTTTTTTTTTTTTAAGATTTTATTTATTTATTTGACAGAGAGAGATCACAAGTAGGCAGAGAGGCAGGCAGAGTGAGAGGGGGGAAGTAGGCTCATCGCCAAGCAGAGAGCCCGATGCGGGGCTCGATCCCAGGACCCTGGGACCATGACCTGAGCCGAAGGCAGAGGCTTTAACCCACTGAGCCACCCAGGCGCCCCCCCAGTCTTTCTCTTAAAGACAATCACTGTTAGCAATCTCTTTTTTAATTTTTTTTTTTAAGTAATTTCTACACCCAAAAAGGGGCTCAAACTGATAGCCCCGAGATCAAGGGCCATACTCTCCACCAACTGAGCCCGCCAGGTGCCCCCTTTTGGCAGTTTCTTAACACGGGTTTCAATACACAAGAATTGATCAAAATAGTAGCAGAGCACCATTTCACACTATTCTAACCAAGACGAGTATGCTTCCTGTTATGACATATATCAAGTCTTCTTTTATCTCTAGCAATACTGAAAGAAGCTACAAAAAAACCTGAAAGACAGGGCTGTAAAAAGGGAACAAAGGGCCATCTGCAATAACCATGAAGATGGCTGCACATATTAGAAAGCACTAATTGATATTCGGACGGCTTTTTTCCAGCTTCTCCTCTTCTAAAAATAGCGTGCTTTCCTTTTAAAATCAATAATTCAATTATCTAAATTAGAGCATAGGAATGAGGATGTCTATCTCAACCCAGCACCCAGAATATTTTAGATGCTCTGATTCAACCTTTTTGGGAAGGCTGTGAGGTATCCTAGTAAGAAAAATGCTATTTAAGGATCTCAAGACAGGTTACTAACGTGGAGGGCAATACAGCACAAGCTAGATCACTATAATCCGAGGAGATCTGGTTTTTTTCTCCCTTTTCAGAACATGTATGTAGGGATAATACTTTCTCTAGCCTGGTTGCTACAGGAGTGACTCCACTGTAGGATGCCCTCACAAAACACTTCCACGCCATGAAAACACTGCTGCTTCCCAGGCATCATGTCAAGACACAAGGTTCATAAGAATTCCACGGATGCTTTGTCTTTTAAGATCCACGTGACTCTTGTATCAGAACTAAAACAGGTAAGGAGTGAGGGTAGGTGAACGTGTGTGTGTAGAGGTACAAAGGGAGGGCCGCTATCTCCTGAACAGTGATAAGGCGGAGATGGAAGAAATGATAAAAGCAGATGCTGACCACTTAGCATCTCCAAAGTTTTGCGGGCTCTGAAATTCCAGGCCCTCCGTCAAATTCTTCGACTCCACTGGGTAATTTTGCATCAGCCAAGCAATCTCTTTGTGATTCTGCGTCAGCCTAGAAAATAGCTATGCTACTAACACAGAGAGAGAGGTGACTCAGCAAAATGATTCTAAAGACTCCTCTTTTGTCACTTGTCAACCCTCATGCCTTCTGACTCTGAAGGCAGAAGATCTGAACCCCCATCAGAGAAAAACCAAGACCCAGAGTTTTCTGTTAACTTCTAACCATGAGCCATGTTACATATCTAAAGAACCAAGCAGACAGAAAGACACACCTAAAGGAAAACCTCAAACCTCCTCTCTAGTTTTTGTGCACGCCCCCTCCACTGAGCAAAGGGCATTTATCGTCGAGCAGTTTCTCTTTGCCAGCTTTATTTCAGAACTTATCTCCTGTCTAGCTACACAGTAGTGACAAGAGATAGCACTGCGTCCATTTTCCTTTGCTGAGATCAAACTGCAGCTGTCAACATTCATGAATCCGATTATTTGACTAATGTCTATCCCTCCAGCTAAAGGGCAAGCTCGGGGACGGTGAGGACCTTGTCTGTCTCACTGAGTGAGATAACTGAATGAGCTTTTTTGAAATGCATGGATTCATTCATGATCCTAACTGCCCACGGGTTCCACTGAAAGTTCATCCTAGTCGGGAGACCTCATTGATAGACAATGAGTCATCTTCCACTTTCCACTCAGTACCTGGTTAGTGAGCAGCCCCAGAATGCTGGGCCCTAATTACCCCAGGCCAAGTCTGTTAAACTGTGGGCACCCACAAAGCCATGTTGGTGCATTTCTGAGATGACCAGGCCTCAGAGAAGATCTGATGAAGGAGAAAGGAAGTGGAAGAGGGCGGTCTTGGATTGTCCTTCTACATCAGAACACAAGAGAAGAACTGGGAGCCACAACGGCCTCTTCGCCAGCTTTTCCCTTTCTTGCCCTCAACAGACCCGACACTTCAAAGACGGCTCCTGGGTTGCTGGGGGTTTCATCTTACCCTCAACTATTCTAAATTAATTAGAGCAAAGCCTAAATGGATAACCAGAGGCCAAGTCCTGTAGCGGTTCCCATTCATTAGTCTTTTTTCCGGGCACGGGATGCAAGCACAGAGTTGGCTGACTGCTAGCACTCCTGACGGCGACAAGCTCGGGGACTTCCTCCGGGTCCCGGCCGCCAGCAGCCCGATCGATCCGGGATTGGGGGAGGTAGGGGGAGGAGCTTGTACGGGAGGGCTCGGGGTCTGGGACCGCCCGGGCAGCCCGGGTCAGAGTTCAACCCACCTTCCAACTCTGCAAAGCCGAGCACCACATCTGAAGCCCTGCCCTGCCTGTCTTTGACCTCCAGGGCCGTAATGGTGCAGCCCCAGGAGATGATGTCCACTTTCAGCAGGTCTGACTGCAGCTGGAACTTCTCCACTGTCCCTGCCCCTGAGGGCAGGTCTCCAAACACGGCTCTAGTCACCGAAGCCATGGGGGAAAGCCGGCGACGTGCAGCGGCTCCCAGTCCTCAGAACTCCAGCCTCCAGAGCTGGAGCGGGACTTTACTGGAGAAGAGGCGGGACCCGGCTCAGACTCCTCCTCTTCCTTGCCTAGATTTAGAGAGTGACCACTCCTGCAAAAAATATCCTCTGGCGACTTTCTAAATCTTTCCTTTGCATGAGGGTGACAGGAAGGCAAAACTTCCAGACTGGCTTTTCCTTTGCTAACTCTGGCTGCAGTGCATGTCGGGAGTGGTAGTCTTTGGAAGGTGAACTTGCATTTTGGGGCCTGTAGTCTCTCTCAACCCAGATCCTGAAATCTGTAGGATTCTACCCCTCCCGCCTCTCTGGCGGGGGAGGGGGGGGTTCTCAAACAGGCAGTGAGCTAACTCTCATTAATGTTGGTGGCAGAATTTCAGAGAAAATTCTGGAAAATGCAGAGAGTAGAATTAGAGACAGACGAATGTTGCGGGGAAGGGGGGCAATTCTGGTTTTAAATTAACTCTGATCCAGAGAAGAAAGGGCAGAGGTAATTCAGAGAAGGGGCAAATCAGCACAGGCAGCTCTGAACACTGACTGCAGATTTCTTCTGTTTGTCCATGCAGTGACGCTCTCTACGTGTTTATGCTGCAACCTCTGCCCATAGGCTTTCCTGGCCGTAGGCTTGGAGTACCAGTCTGGACAAGGTCAAGTGTAGATGAACTAGGGCTTAGTTACATGGAGGTGGTCAGAGACAGCCTCTGACTTTCTTTTCCTCAGGGGTCTGGGGAGGGCCTTGAGGATCTACCCCTTCTGGTTCCTGAAGTCCAAAATTCCTTTAAGAAGGGATTAAGGGAGAGGTGCCTGGGTGGCCCAGTGGGTTAAGATCATGATTTGGGTCATGGGATCAAGCCCCAGGCTCCTCACTCAACAGGGGAGTCTGCTTGCTTGAAGATTCTCTCCCTTTGCCCCTCCTCCAACTCATGTGCTCCTTGGCTCTCTCGCTCTCAAATAAATAAATCTTTTTTAAAAAAGGGGGGGATTAAGGGAATATTTAGTAAGGTCCCCCTAAATGTTACATACTATAATTTTATCATCTTTTTCGTACAAGGAGAAAAAGGCTTTAAGTATGTACTGATGGGAGAGAAGACAAGCAGATCATTAAATAATTGTCATGCTTTGGAGTGCCTCAGAATTATGAGAGACACTCTTTTTCAAGAATGAGTATTTCCAGGCTCATCCCTGGAATTTCTGATTCAATGAGTCAAGGGCAAGACTCAGGAATCTGTCCTTTTCACAGGGTTTCCTAGGTTATTCTAATGCAGATTACCTGGGACCAGACTTTGAGAAAGGCTGCTCAACAGTTTGCAGACTAATCTTAGGCTCCCCGCAAACCCCTCCCCGCAATAGGCTCTGATGCCATAAGACTAAGATAGGCTTCTAAAGGCCTTTAATGAGATTGTCAAATACAATACAGAAGCTTGTGTATTTCTCTACTGAATGTGTCAACTCCAGACAATACTGGGCCTAGGAAGGGGGAGGAGGCTGGAAGCCGGAAGACATGTTTTATTTGACTGCCTTCATACCCATCTTTGCGTGACACTGCTTTCGGTTTGGTTTCTAGGTACTATGGAGGGGATTCAACTAGACTGTGGTAAGCGCCAAAATGCATCTATGATCAGGAAATGAGAATTGGAATCGTGTTCCTGGAATCAGATGCTGATACACATAACTGTCTCTCAGCCCTTTCGGTCTGTAGTTTGAAGGATTATTCCACATTCTTGCCACAAGCCTCCATTCTCATTCATGAAGCAGGGGGATTGTGATAGCAAAGGAAAAAGAGAACTTGCAATGGGCCTTGGTGAAGTGTAACACATAATAACAAAAAGACCCAAACAAGTGAAATTACAGACTGCACCGCACTCACACAATCACCGACAGCACTCCAGCGTGCCGCTTCCTCAGAAATTCTATCAACTCTGCAGTCCTTGTCAGCCTACTTAACATTTGTGGCTGATTCATACACAAGCCCTTTCGGCAATGCTGTGTTAGCACGGATGTCTCACAATCTCTTCTGTGGGCAGGAAGACTGCATTTTCTTTTCTCAGCCTCCAGATCTCAATGTTCTGCCAAGCTCATGTTGTCACAGAAAGAGAGAAAGGCACTGGAATGGCCAAAGCCAAGTGTCACTAGGGGAGGTATTGTAGCGAGGCTTGGTGGAAAATGAAACATACTGATGTCTGTCTATGAAGGAAAGAGTACATGTCTTCATTTCATTTTCCTTTCACTTTTACTGGTCTTAACATAGTGTCCTAAATAGGACTGACTTGTGCTAGGTCAGCTGTTAGGCACGAATCTTGACTTTTCTTATGAAAATATCCTCTTTTCCTAGTTCCACAGTGATAGTCTAAAGGAATACTTGTGCACTTGGGGCACCTGGCTCGTTCACTTGGTAGAGCGTGTGGCTCTTGATCTCAGGGTCATGAGTTCAAGCCCTATGTTGGGTGTGGTGTCTATTTCAAATATATATATGTATATATACGTGTGTGTGTGTGTGTGTGTGTGTGTGTGTGTGTGTAACATCTTATCATATATATATGAAATAAAATAAATTTTGTATACATAAAATAAAGGAATATTTGTGCACTTAAAAAAAAAAAGAAAGAAGACGACGCACCCTAAACCTAAGGAAATATTTTCCAACTCCAAGGTTGGATTAGGTCAGAAGTAAGGCAGTGGTAACTTTGAAAATGAAACATTGTCAAATTCAAGGAAGTATTTGTTTTTATTTTTGGGATGAGGGGGAGGTTTTGAGGTGAAAAGAGAAGGAATTGTGACATTTATGCTTAGAGGAGTTACTTAAAATGGATACCTTTTTTTCAACTAGAGAGTGAGGTATCAGGTTGGACAGGTAAAGAATAAGGTCAGTTTCTCTTCTCTGCTGGAGGTTAATCCTCAAAGCTGAGTGCTTGGGGAGCCAGGAATGAGGAGATCTGAGGGCTTGGACCCTGGGCCCCACTTCCTCATTCTACACAGACACTGCAGGTGTCCTGTTCCTGGGACACCCAACAGGGATGGCTCCAAAGATTTAAGCTGTTGACAAGCTGCTAGGCAGAGGAAACTCTGAGTTATAATAATAAAACCAACTCACAACCCCTCACAGTTTGTCTAGAGAGAGACCCAAAATAGATTCTCTTCAGTTGATAAGTCACCATCTTCCTGTTCTCTTCCTCCAATAGCGTTTGTTGTCAGTTCTCTTCATTGGGCACTCAACTATGCGGTGTCTTAGATCATTCTTTATCTTTCCATGAGTACATTTTATTGTGGCTAGTGGCTCCCTGACTCAATATTTTGACTCACAAATTTTTGGTGACCTCAACAACACTATCCTTGGTTTCAGAAGTAACCTACTTGTATCTGGAAGCCAGGAATATGGGGGAGAACCTCATCGAGTTCACAAGAGGTGGAATTCTTCACAGTTCAATTCACCTCTGTTGCATCGATAATTTTGGAGCAGCTGCTGGGGAAGGCATGATGGGGGCCGCTGAGAAGGTGTTGAGGAAAACGGATTAAATGCTTTTGTAGGACATGTTCATTCCTCAAATATTCACTGGGTATGTGCCAGGCACTGTGCTAAGTACTGGTGGTACGTTGATAAGTAAATCAGGATCCTTGCCTTCAAGGAGCTTACAGTCTAATATGATGCAAGGTTCATCTCTGTCTTCCATAAAGCCTTGAGTAAAATCTTCAGAATTCATTAACAGTCAATGTTGGATGAAAGAAAGCACTGGGACTGGCCTCAACAGAGGTGTAATTTCAGGGTTGCCCAGAGAATTCAGCTATATTAGGATTATTTTAGAATTTCCTGACACCAAGCACAGAGACTAGCAATCTTCAATGCTCAGTAAGTAACCATTGATGAATACACGGTACTTTTGTATTTACAATGTTGTAGTGGAGAATTGACTCTGATATCAGAAGATCTGGGTTCAGGGGCGCCTGGGTGGCTCAGTGGGTTGAGCCGCTGCCTTCGGCTCAGGTCATGATCTCAGGGTCCTGGGATGGAGTCCCGCATCGGGCTCTCTGTTCAGCAGAGAGTCTGCTTCCCCCTCTCTCTCTGCCTGCCGCTCTGCCTACTTGTGATCTCTCTCTGTCAAATAAATAAATAAAATCTTTAAAAAAAAAAAAGAAGATCTGGGTTCAGAAGGCATCAGAACTTACTGGCCAGGCAATTTGTCCAACCACTTTGAACTTCAGTTTCCTCAACTATAAAATGGAAATAATATCCTATGATTGGTTCATCCAATTATTATTTAGTGATTGCTAGTAAATATAAAGTGCTAAATATGTCCTGGGCACCGTGATAAGCACCCTTATAAGTCAGGCACTATTATCAGATACAGAAACTGAGACTTATTGAGGTTAAGTAACTTGTTCAAGGTCACATGGTTTGTAAGTCAGGAAATCAAGATTTGATCCTGGGCACTTTGACTGCAGAGATCAGAGCATGTAACCACTTCTGTGTACGCTGCCTGGTACTGTGGTCAACTGAGACCTGGATGCCAGAGCCCTCTACAAATTCCAGTACATTACAGCAATGTAAATGTTCATCTCCTAATTTTTATGGCAAGTTTAAAAAATTAATATCTGGAATTAAGTTACATTGGGCTCAAGAGGGCATTGTAGGCACTTACTATAGATAAAGAAGGGCCCAAGGAGTAGAGCTAGTCCTTTGCACCCACAGACTCTAGAAAAAAGACACTCATCACGTCCAGACCTATTATATTGTCATTTGTTTATTTGTTACTGTGTCTTCTGCCAAGAAAATCGAAGCTCCATGAGAGTGAGAACCTTCACTGCCATTTCCCAGTAACTAGAACAGATCAGTAAATCGCTAAAAAAATATTTGTTGAATGAATATTTGAATGCTGGAAAGGAAGTGAAGCATCTCTCATACAGAGGTGGTAGAAGTTGCAATTGATAAAACCACGTTGGAGGACTTTTGGAGGACAACTTGTCCATATCTAATAAAGTCAAATTGCATAAAACCTAGCAATAGCCCACGACCCAGCAGTTCCATGTCTTGGAATATACCTTAATCAATTTCACATAAACCAGCTTCAAAACTCAAAAGAGTCAGAACACTTTTAAGTGTTC